AAGGAGCGTGAGAGCCTGGGAATCATTGTACAGTACAAGGTCAAAGTGAAGCTAATCATCGGCTACGGAGGGTAGGTACTAGTAGTAGAAGTAGGTGTAGCAGATCTGACCAATGAGGATTTCAAGTGTTTCAATATGAATCAGGGATTTAGCTCAAGCTCATTGTTAAAGATATAAACTTTAGTACTGGTAATGCGATTGCATTGTGAAAGAAAAGATGTGGAAAGGATCAGAAACAGTTGATCATGTAGCATGTAGGTAAGTATTAGTATGCACTGCAAGGTTCTGGAGTCATCAAAATCATAATAAATATGACCCAGTCTTGGTAAAGTAACAAGCACTGTACACAGAAAGCTATATATGGGACAACACACATGGTGTCGGTGCTAGTACTAGCTTTCCTTGTCTTTCTATGCTCATTACTCAGCCAGTATACATTCGTCACATGTCATTTATTTGTAATCTTGAACATTCAGTGTAAGTTTCGTTTGATTCTGTGAGAATTAATTTTCTTTTTTTTTACCAGAACTGGAGTTTATCTTTAACTATTGAGAGTAGGTAGTAGAAGTAGGTGTAGCATAACTGACCTAGCAGGATTTATAATATTAGAATATGTTGTAAGGCAGCAATCTATAACATCAAGACTGATCCCTTTTAAGCAGATCAAAGTATAGCGTAGCATTAACCAAGTTCTTTTCATCATAGTATCTGCATGCTTACTTGGAATTATATTAGAATGGCCCGTTTTATGTAATTGGAAAATGAATAGAATGTACTTTAAGTTACTGTTTGACTTTATTTGATTGAATGTTTTGATTTAAAATGTGTACATGGGTTAAGTTCTTGAGTCATTGGGGTTTATAATTGAGACACATGCTATTTTTACACAACGACAAAGGCTCTAGGTTGTAATACATACAATTGAAAGTTCTAAGAGTATTTATGTTGGTGCAATCATTGGCTTTGGTAGTTTGTCATAACCACTCTCTCTTGATAGAGCTTTTTCAGTTAAAAACCTGAACATTCTTAGCCCCTGTACTAAAGAATTGCCTTACTCTCATAATGTTCAAGGCATGTCTCAAAACACTTCTTTTCTAAATTCCTCTAAGTTTGTAATTAATGTATAAAGCTTAGTATGATAATGTTCTCTTTCTTTGTTTGTTTCTACGGTAAATATTTCTTGTTTATGCGCTTTGTAACCAATGAAAAGGCACTTTATGAATGTAATATTATATTATATATTATATTTTAATGTTTCTGTCTGTGAAGACTTTGGATTTTGAAAATGTTGTTGTTGAATCTATATTTTCAGGGACTTATCGGTGGAGCTACCATTCACTATGACCCATCCTAAACCCGTTGAAGAAGAACCAGCACCTGTTCCTGCCCCTAGCCCCAACACTAACAAAGAGAGTAAGTACCATACAGCATACCTGCCAACCTTTCACAGCAACATTTAGGAATCCCTCAAGGCAACTTTAGGAATACAATCTATTTTATAAACTTTTTACGCAGTAAATTACAGATAGAGAGTGAAATCTAGTGTTCATGGTGCTAGTTTGAAGGCTATAAATGGGAATAATTCCTCCATAATAGAACTGGTTGTCAGCTGTGCACTAAGCCACTGGTTCTGATAACATGGAACTGTGTCTCTCCATCGGTGCATGGTGCGATCTCCATGCAGGCTGAGTGTGTTTTTGGCCCGTCTCATAAACAGTTTACGATTAATTGCCACTTATTCGTTATTTATATCAATTGCAACTATGTAGATCAGAGACTGCAAACTTGCATTTGAATCGGATCAATCTCAACTCTTTATAAGACGGGGCCTTGACATGCCCTACACCATGCAGCGACCAATAACCACAGTGCTAAAAATAACTGCAATGGCTGCATGTTTTGCCTGCGTTCATCTAAACTCACAGCCAAATGCAGAGCTCACGTCTGATATCAGGGTCATGCAGTTGTGTGCTTGCTCTAGGTGGCCTTACATGTACTGACCCTCTTGCATCGGATGCAGGGATTTCCTGCAAAGTCCTTTTAAGACTGCAGAGATGCAGAGAGGTGCATGGCCCTGTGTGGCCAAGGCTTACATGTATTTCAAGTGAATCTGATCTAGACCCTGCACAATTCAATTCAATCTCCTCATTATTGCATCCTCTGTCAATAGATGATATGTGGAAAGTTGTTTACACTTACCAGGTGATGATCGATGATTGTTTTACCTGACTGCTAAGAAAGCATGTACATGCAACCAGGGGACCCATGGCTTTAAGTCTTCTTTGAGGGACTTGGTAACAAGGATTAATGCACAAGCGCATTGACTTGGTTTTGAACCTGTGACCTCCTGGTCATGAGACCACTGCTCTACCACTGAGCCATCATGCCACCCCAGGTAGCTTCCAGCTAGTTGCAAGCTATCCAATGCAATTATACAGATGTCACGTTTGCACATATCTTCATCCAGGAATGATAGACCCGCTAGATATAAAGATCAGAATCCTTGTAATATTAAAGAAGAATGAAAAATAATTTCTGACTCTGCAGTCAATCAAACAACTGTTATTAAGCATATCCAAAGTGCTGTTGCTGGGTGTTATGTTTAGCACATTATATACAGATCCTCGGTATAATGGGACCTGTACAATTTTACCATCCAGGATTATGGTGTTTAAATTAGGCAAGAAGAAATGTGCTACCATTGTATCGAGATTGATTTCTCTTCTGAGAAATTGATGTAGTTGTTCAACGTTATTCTAGCTCCTTTACCATTTTGAACTCATTTTAGTTCATTATCCCTTAAATGCTCTGCGATTGATTTGACGCTATGTTAAGAGGACTTGTTAGCAACATTAGTTAATAAGATCATTATTAATGATTTGTGCCGCCTTTGGCTTGTCAGGTAACATGGAGTGGTGATGGCTCAGTAATAGAGCAGTGGTCTTGTAACCATGAGATCGTGGGTTTGAAACCAGGTCAATGCACTAGTTTCCTTTAAAGGAATTACGCGCAGTCCTCTGGTTGCTTTCCCATGAGAATTCTTTCACAGCCTTTCTTAGCAGTTGGGTCAAAACAAACCCATCGTCACCATTGAGATTTTGATTTTGATCCAATGGAATATGCCTATATTATTTGTAAGGAAGATATCCTTATATTTCCTTGTTATTGTGACTGTCTGCTTTTATGCATTTCTTATTTTCAATATATCAAAATTATTACACTGTATATCCTCATTCATGCGACATTTGAAATTATTGATATTGTAATACAGTCTGTTGATAATTCTTGTTGAGGCAAAGCATTTATTCCTGAATATCATCTAAAAAATTATGCTGTCTCCAAGTCTTGACAAATTTTTAAACTAAGAATGTACTCATATTTCATAGTAACCAAAGTAATGTTTTTTTCGTTTTGTTTCCCTTTACAGCAAATGAGGTTCCAGTTGACACAAATCTTATCAATTTTGATGCAAAGTAAGTTCCCAATTTTTATCTACCGGTATTGATTTTTTTTAAATGATATACCTGTATACACACACCACACATATATAAATGCATATTTAGTAGACTTTAGAACAAATAATTTTCTACTAAAACCACATGTTTATATTTAATGATAATGTTTGTTGTCATTCCAGATTGATTCCTGCATGTAGCTATATAGATGTATCCTAACCATATTCCTCTGGTATGCGGTACTTCCTAAATAGTCTTTTTGTATTTCCTAAGTGTGCTATGTGGTAATTGTACAACGTGGCGAGTAAAATCTGGTCCAAAGACAGGTCGTCTTACATGTACCTCTGCATACCTGCCAACCACCCCGATTTAGGCGGAGTTCCTCCGCATTTTTCATACCAACTCCGAATTCCGAATGCATGCCTCAAAACTCCGATTTTTAAAAAAAAAAAAAAAAAAAAAATTTATTTTTTATTTATTTTTTATTTTTTTTATTTTTTAGAGTGTAATGCACTTGGAGAGTATATAACTATTATGTTTGTATTTCGAAATGTAAAGCGACTTGAGCATGTTCATGTAAAGGCGCTCAATAAATACCAATATGTATGTATGTATGTATAAGACTAAAGCATAACACAGCACTGATAACCAGATCACGCCAACATCCGCGCTCGCGCTCATAGAAGATATACACAGTGCAGCCCGAACGTGATCGTCAGTTCCCCCCCCAATCTACGGGCTACTACCCCAATCCTTCGGTGGTTCGCGACCTAGTAGTCCATCCAGAAAAATTTACTCCTAATTTCTCTTGTCTCAGGTTGGCAGGTATGCCTCTGTGTAACATGCGGCCGTAGAGGTCAGTAGAAAAGTGTTCTTACATACAGGACATGAAATCTTGCTCGGTATTTGAGAGGGAGTCTGTTTCGGTCGAGTGTTTAGACAGTGTTTTTTTAAAAATACAGCTTGTTGGAACTGGAAAAAACTATTCTCTAACCTTTGAACTGTGGAGTAGCATGGATCAAACACTAAGCTAGGGAGGACTGGTGTTAATAGGGTGGGGGGGGGGGGGGGGGCGGGTATTAATCGGTATATGAAAATGGAAACAAAGAAATCATTGAGTGGGTTGTCATGATCATCTTCCTTTCCTGTTGTCTTCCTTTCTCTTTTTCTCTCTCTTTCTCTCTCTCTTTTTCTTTCTCTCTTTCTTTCTTTCTCTCTCTCTTTCTTTCTCTCTCTCTCTCTTTCTTTCTTTCTCTCTCTCCCTCTCTCTCTTCTTTCACATTCATTTATCATCAATCGTTTGGTGGGGTAACATCCTCCCCTGTATCTATGGCACAATATTCGGACATGAAATAGATTTTCCTTTATACACGAATGATCATTTAAGATGTAGAATAATCTAAAGAAACAAAGAAATACATGATGTAATTCTAAAGGAAATATTTTGTAGAAAAAGTTGCATTTGTGGGTCAACTATTTGGGAGGGGGAGATTATATGGTGAAATGACTCCAGGGGTCAAATTTTAAAAGTGATGTATGAAATATGAGAAGCACGTTCCAGATTAACATGGATAGACAATTGATTGAGCTTAGGTCAGAGAGTGAAAATTAGTAAGGATCTATTTAATAGGGTGAAGAGGTGCATTCTCAATCATGCAATCACAAGCGGGGCTCCTTTGTGAAGTTTGGAAATCATTTTGTGTGTGCCCTTATAGCTCTCATTAATTTCTGTCGCCCATTACAATTTGTTTAATCACTTTAGAATCACCATCATTTCTATAGTAATGTTTTTAACACAATGTTTTAGATAATATCTTCATATATGAGCAGGTGCCTCATACTGTTGTATATCGTCATATTAACCCTTAACCTTGGCTGTTATTTTTTCCCACCAATGCTTCTTAATTTCTTTTGCCACCCCTGCCCTCCTCCCCTCCGCTTCTCCCCCCCCCCCCCCCCTCCTCCATACCCACCACCATTTCCTGCCTCCTCTTGTGTCGTGCTTAAAGGAATAATGATCCAAATGGACGGTCTGACAACTACTGCGTTGCCAGAACACAATGTCTAACTGCTACAAACGAGGGCAGGTATATTGCGCCCTCTTTAGTTTCAGAGCATGCTGCATGAAACAAACACACAATGTATATTTCATACATTTCATACTTAGTTGCATGGTTTTGTGGTTTTTATTTTTCACTTCTGAGTGGGTCTGAGGTTACTTTTCTGGCATTAAAAAATGGCAATTTGGGTCATTTTTTATGATTTTTGATTTAAATTTAAAGAATACTTTAAATGGCAAGAGAGATATTTATTTGTAATCTTTGTATAGAAATAATATTGGAGATGAATTTAATAATCAAATGATGCAGAAAAATTTATAAATATAGGTAATTCTATGTTCAGTATCTCTCTCTCTCTCTCTCTCTCTCTCTCTCTCTCTCTTCTTCTTCTTCTTGTACTATAATTTTTCAATCATTTTCAGTGTTTACAGTTGTTTCCCTTTTAACAACTATTTTATTAAAACTACAAATTTGTCAAAATAGTCTATGTCAGTTGATCCTGGGTATATGCTAACAGTGAGAACCGACCCTTTAGATCATCATCTTCTGCATTCTGGAATCTTATATCATTCAAATTTAGGAAGATTTTTTCTTGAATATTATGAAGCTGTGAAATGAACCTTTCTAACAAAAGTGGTAGTCTGTAAGGTAGAGATTATCTAAATGTATTAAGGTATGTTAATCATTTGCTTAAGATGCGTAATGCTCGTACACTGTATTTCTTACGATCAAATTCACCTTCCCATTGTATTGAAACTATTTCAATCTCTAATTTTCTTTCTCTGAACTCTCTGTATTTTCTTCATAATTCCAATCTATTCAATATCGTACTTAATAAAGCCTCCCGTTATTTTTATTAAAGATTGAATGTACACGTAGTAAGTTTCTCTTGTTGTAGTAAGTACCTTCCCTTTTATGAGTGATTTGCTTATGATTTTTCTTTTTTCTCAATCTTACTTTAAACTCTCATCTCTCTATATGTAGAGGTGTTGTGGTCTAGTGGATAAGTCACCCAATTGCAGATCACAAGGTATAGGGTTCAAATCCCAGCCCAACACTAACGTCCCTTTAATAGCAAGACGTTAATCTATATTTACCACTCTCCCCCCAGGTGTACCCGGTAGTATGCGAAAGTTAATGTAGTTTGCTCAGCATTGTGAGCGTTTGTAAAATGACGCCTGGCTGGAATGCTTCCCAGAGAGTGGAGAATGTGCATACCTTGTGTGCGGGGCAAGCCTGAATCCAATGACAGGGGTAATGATATATCTGTAAAGCGCTTAGAGACATCATTGATGTATTAAAGGTATTATGTCCCTTTTGCAGCCAACCTCAAATTCTGTAGAACTTTGCAGGAATTATGAATATTTCATGTATGTCCTATATGTGAAATTTAAACGTTAGCAGTGTCCTAATATTCAAATTATGCAAGGAAACCCGTTTACTTGCTAGACGTCACTGTCAGACACTATTGAGTGACTGACTGGCTTTTTTTCTTGTTTGGTAATAACATATATAAAATGAGCTGTAAAGGGTACATGAGCATTTGTCTACATGTACATCAATTACCCACTTCTTGTGATGGCCAAAATTAAACTGATTGAATCTTTTCACAGCATAAAACGTATGACCATTCGGTACAATGGTCTGAAAATCAAGACTATTACTGATTGGCTCTATAGCTCCTAAGTCAATTTGACAACTAATAGTCATTATTTTCCCACTTGAAGACATTTTCGAGCCCCTCCTTTTTTAGGGAAGTTCTAAATCAGTATTATCTTTCTAATGCCGTTGGAATTTAACCTTTTCATTTTTTTGGCCTGCAAATGCGACATGAATGAACTACAATACTTGGAATTGAATCTTCATACATTACTTGTTGATATTTTGGGTAAACCTCTGGACAGCTTTCAGGTTGTCATAAACAACCTTTGTTTAAGAAGTAGGCATAACATTTCAATATGTTAATAAATCATTCTATCGTCTCGAAATTACGGTCATATAACATACATGTATACCCTCTACATATATCTACATGTAATAAAGTCCTTTGTATATATGTATATCATATTTAGCACTATTTGCATGAATGAATGATTTCTTACAATATTACTTATCCAAGTTTAATTTTGAAAGTTTTACAGTGTGTTCATGTTTACACTGATAGATTATCACTTGAGATTGCTGTGCAGTGGATCTATCTTCACAGATTTGATAAATGTTTTGGTCTTTGCCTATTTCATCTTTTTCTACATTCATTCAATAAACCTACTCATATTTTCCACATTCTTAATTTTCCCTTGATACACAGTACGGTTACGTGTTACATGATTTTTTAGATTTAGTTTGATTATTCATATTTCAGACTTCATTCATATTCATAGCTACTAATCAGTCATATTTGGTGGTAATGATGCCTAACTAGGGGCTTCAAACTGATTTTATGAATTTTGGAATTGCTCTAGTTTTAAAAGAAAATGTCTGTGTGAAAGCATATAGAAAACATGCTGTATTCCCAATTCCCTTTGAGAGATTGCTATTATTTGCTACTGAAGGTTAGCAGGTTTGTAAAATGTTATAGAGATTGTTTTTCCTAATGAGATTAATAATCAATGGCCAACTTGTTAAATGTTGTAAAGCCCTTCTGTAAGTTTTAGTTAATGATGTAATGGTGCATTATCCTCTGAAAAAGAAAAAAACAACAAGAAAATACCCTACAGTTGTCGTCATGTGTAATTTTTAAAGTTAAGGGGTTTATTTCTTGATTCCTTGACAGAACATGCTCAGTCTGAAGAAAAACATTTAAAAAAAAAAAGGGGGGGGGGTATGCTTTTTTTTCTCCATATCAATAGGTCATACTCCATGTCAATTTTTACACCAAATTTATATCAAGAAAGGAAAACAAAATCTCTCCATAGATTTGTATGCATTAAGCTGATTGTGGGTAAATGCCCTCCCCCACACCCCCACCCCCTTCCCTAAAGTGTTGTGACTGCCTGTCATTGCCTTGTATCTGTCTGTCAGTGTCAGTTTGCCTAACACATTTTTTGGTCAAGTCTGTAATACTATGTTGTGAAATGTTGTTATGTATTTGGCATTTTAAGCCATGTGTTTCCATTGGGTGACCTATGACTTTCTACAAGTGTTCCTGTTGATAAAGTTGTATTTTTTTTGTTTTGTTTCGTAATTTGGTGTCAAATAATCATTTCATTAACAAGTTCTTAAAATGTAAAAATTCTAGTGCTTTCTCAAAAGTATTGACTGGATTATGTAAGCACTTCCATTGAACTCTGCAGTGCCTGCATCTGTTTTACAAGACATACATATAGTAGAGGAGCTTGGTAGGTATCTTGGCTAGACTGCCATGTCGAAACTTATGATTCATAATATGTTAATTACGCAAATAACTTACATAATCCTCTATTATGTCTTGTGAAACTGGTGGGTCAATGGGAGTGTTAACATAATCCTGTTAATATGTTCATGCTACTTCTGAGAAAGCAATACAACAATTTTATAATCTAAAAACTTTTTAATGAAGTTATCACTTTACACCAAATTGCACCTCAAGAAATGATGAAACCCAATATTGCACTGTGTGAATTTTAACTGACTCACATCAAACACTTCAGAGATATTAAGGTCAGAATGAAATTAAAGAAGCCTTTTCTTTCCAATATATCAGGACCATTTTGGGGGTAGCAAAACTTGGTTTAAGGGCACTTTGGGTTTTTAAAATCTTTCAGGGAAGTATTACACCCATTCCCGATAGATAATTATGTTGGTTTGTATATTTTTGTTATGTACAGTGAAAGCTCTGACTACCTTCTAAGAATATTTGGTTAATGGAGCTAAAGGGGGGGGGGTTGGCCCCAATTCGTAGGGACTGTCTGACACTCAATCCTGACGGAATTTGTTTGTTTAATTGTTTGCGTTTTTGTAATGTCAAGGCATAATGTTTTTTATCGACAAAGTTTGTACATGGGCTCAATGGGATGAAATCAACCATACTTAGAGGTCTTTTTTGGGGGGAGGGGGTGGGTTCTGGGGGCTAAACTCAACAGATACAGTCAGACTGACAACCTTCCACAAGTTAGTTTGTCTGAATAGCTTCGAGGGTAAAATCTTATAGCTAGATTTGGTGAAGATTTCAGGACAGGCTTCCAGAACATTAGTGCATAAATTTAATTGAAATGATCAGGAAAAAACCCCACTCTTTGTTACGTTTAAAGGAATGGCAACTCGATGCAACAAAGGTACTACGAGTATACCTTTCGCTGAGTTACAGTATATGTTGTAAGATATGAAATGTGAAGCATATATACACCTAGGTCCTGGTTTAAAAAGAACACCATGGTTACCTACCATATATCTGAGCAATGCTTTGGGGTTTCTTTCTTTGATTTCATCGTTAAAATTGACTTTGAATATCCTTCATAGGAACAATGTACACAAACCTATACTTGTTTATGGTGAAGGAAGAACAACTTCATGTAGCTTTATTTAGGCCAAACTTTTTTTTTATACAATACATTGTCAAGCGCCAGCCGTTGTACTGAAGGGATCAGTAGGGACTTTTAGATTTACACGACAAGAACGTGGACTGCCACGTGTGACATCCTTTTAAGGTAATGTGACGTCCTTTTAAGGCACTGCCAGGCATGGCCCAGTGCCTTAACACAATGTCACACGCGGCAGTCCACCACGCTCTCGTCGTGTAAATCTAAAAGTCCCTAATGAATGTGATTGAATGACCTTCTGATTCTTTGCAGATGACAGTAGACTGGTTTACTATTGTATGGATGTTTTCTCCCTCGGGACCTAGAGACCATTTATTCCAATAACCTGCTAATAATGAATGAACTACAATACTTTGAATCCAGTCTACATGCATTACTTGTTGCTATGTCGGCTTTCAGCTTTTAGGTTGTCAAGAACAACATTTGTTTCAATATGTTAGAAAACCTGTCTATTGCATGAAGAAATTGACATGCATCAGAAGATATCCATAATATCTGATTATACATGAAGAAATATTTGAACTTTTTATATATTTTGACCTTTGATCTTTGACCTTTCAGTGGTAGTGACAACCAGCAGAAGCTTGAGGACGAGGATGATGATTTGATATTTGAGGATTTCGCCAGACTCCGACTCAAAGGCACAGAGGGTGAAGGAACAGAGGCTTGAGTGGACTAGCATCTCCAAATCAGCATTGCCTGATTCAGGAACCAGGGCTCATATTCATAAAACCATACCAAGCCCAGTTGTCAACTGTGTACTATAGCCTAAGCTCGTCAACAGCTAGCTCAGTAAGGTTTTATGGTTAAGGGCCCAGAGGTTTACCTTCACTAAAAAAAAAACGCAAATCTTGTGTCTGTCCTGCAGCCAGCGTGTGGAAGGGAACTACTGTCCAAGTTAGCGCTTGATGTGTTACAAACACACTCTCATCACATCATATTTCCTCCTCTGCTGTTTCCTACGCACATGCATTGTATTTGCAAAACGGTTCATCTTTAATACTGTATTTATTGAAATTGTCAACGTTGCAATGCAACTATTTTGTTATACTTTTTAACTTTTGAAATATGGGATGAAGCTAGGCTGTGCTAGCTAGGTCACCTTCTCTTACCATACTTTGTGATCAAAGTATATAATAAAAATGGGAAGGCTTTGTCTTTATTGTTTGAAATTGGGGCAGAATGTCAATCACGCAGACATTGGTTTATTGTGTGAATGTGATGGGTGTGAAGACTCCACCCCTCCCCCCTCCCGATATTTTTTCCCACATGAAAAATATTCAATACTCCTTGAAACTTGAAGTCATGGTTTTGCACAGGTTTGAATCCACATGTATCATTTTTTTTCTGTTTTTTTTTACCTCACATATTCAACACTTCATTTGCTGAAAGAAGAATTGACTGGTTAAACACCTTTTTTTCTTTAATCAATTCCTTGTAATATATTTCTTGACTGGATACCTTACAATCACAATCATGATCATAAAGAACTGTAAATACAAATGTAAAGCCTGGAAGTAGATCTTCTCTATATTTTATGATGGGCAAAAATGTCTCATTTCCGTTACCATGCTTCATGTCGTAGTGTCTGACTTTCTTGTAATTTCTTGTTTTAAGGAGTATAAATTATGGTCTATGTTCATTATATGGAGGTACATGTATACATGTATTTCAAGGTTTGTGGGAATCTTTAAAGCAGGCTTTATTGTAAAAGAAATTGAATGAGGTCACTTGACTCTAGCAAAAACTCCCGTATCCTCATTTGTTTGGATTGTTATGAATTCTGTTCTACTGTAAAATCATGATAAATATGTTGAGATGGTATGGGTAATTTACTGAAAAAAGGCTGAGTTCTGTTTGATAGATTGAAACGTTCTAATGATTTAGGATAGTTCATGTCGAAATTTGTAGCTATCTTTGGCTGTACCTTGACTTCACTTGAGATGTGATTATAACATCTGAAGTACTTTAAATGTCGGAGAATAATAGCTTTTGTGACTATATTTTATATTTCTTGCTTGATATATATCTTGTGCATCTCTGTATATAATTATGTGTTGAATGGAATGATCATGTTACCTATACAAATGTATATGAAGTGAATATTGATTTTCATTGTGGTTATTTTTTAAGCTGACCAACCCCATTTTTGTTGCTGTTCATCGCGTGACAGAATGTTGGTACCGTGGAGCTCAATTCTCTGTTAGAATAGAACTTAGCAGTGTAGCCAAGTGACCAAATCCTTTGTATATTGAAATATACTCATGGCATATAATGCTCTCTCTCTCTCTCTCTATGCGAAGTCACGGGTAGTCACATTTTATGTTTCAGTTTGTTAAAAAGCATTTTAAATATGCAGAGATGGGTACCCTTGTTAGGCTAACAATGTTTATTTCAAGTACTGTTAAGTTTATTCCACATGAAATTATGTAAATGCAACTGTATTGCAACAACACCAATATTGTCAAACTAAAAAAAAAATGTATCGGAAATAATATCGCTAGTGATATTTGTTCGTCTCACAATGTATGGTCAACAAGGGATTTAAAAAGATCACAACGTTTCGTGCACTGCTGCAACACTTCGTCAGGTGATAAATATTGTAAGCAAGCATGTTTTATACTCTACGGGTGGACCGTCGGTCAAATAATTTGAATAATAATTAGAACAATAATGAACAGGGCCTATTGGCCGAAGCACACGGGTGCTCAACCAATCAACGGGCCGCTGGCTCGGTGAGGGCCGGCTGGAATATCACTAGCGATATTATTTTTGATACTACATCCGCAATGAACAATATATCTAGCATTTAACAAAAACGATTTTCTGTACAAGGGAAACTTCGGGGATATCAGTAGGGTATGTTTTGCACAGGATGCATCCCCACATTATGTGTTTAACTTGGAGATTAAACCTTTATGCTTCCGCCCACCAAAGGTGGTGCGACAGGCATTTATGTTAGGATGGTTTTCCCCTATGTCCGTCCGTCCGTCCCACTTTCTTTCTTATCATGATATCTCAAGAGCTATTTGAGGAATGAACTTCTAACTTGGTGAAAGTATGTATCACCATAGGAAAAGAGTCTGATTAAATTCAAAGGTCATAATTGATGAAATTCCAGTTTTATTATTGTTTTGAAACAGTTTGAGGTCCACTCTGTATTTACTGCTGTCTCTATACTGTCATTGGAAACAAAAGATTTGTCCTTTCCCTGATTATTTGGCTGCCTCTCTAAAAGGTTTTCATTTAAAGCTTGTATGGATTGCTTTCTGAAGAGAAATCTTGTGTCAAGAGAGAGAGTATAGGGGATGTATTGTATGACAACCCATGTTTTATCAGTGAAATTTTATGACATCAATTCTAGAGAAATTTCCATGTCATTCTGTGCTTTTACAATCCAATTATGATTATATTTATTTCATAATTCCTTATGAGTAGGAGTTGAAAACTACAGTGACCAAAACAAGGACGCTTTAAAAAGTAATTTATGTTCATGAATGTGTCGGTGATGTTAAGACTGCTCTTTTCCAGGTGTAGTGTAGTATGTGAGAATGGAAGATATCTACAGTGTATATTTGTTAAGTAGATCAGTCCCTTTGACTTAATTATGTCCATCAGGTCTTTGCATCCATCAGGTCGAGTTGTATTTATGTTGCATGAACTTCATGAAGACATGCCTTCTTAAAATAGCTTCTAGATATTTTATTCTAACTGCCCTTTTGATGAGAGGAGGTCCTTTTGTATGTCAGCTTAAGCATCTAGTACAGTTGATAGCTTTGGTATATGTCTTTGGTACATGTCTTTGGTACATGTATAATGGTGATTGATGTATATTGTATTGAAATATATGTAAGCTATTACATGACATCTTGTGCAATGTGGAATAGATACATACAGTGTACATAAGTTCAATTTTTGTTTCACTATTTCCTGTTGTAATTGTCTTTTTTTCTTCTAATCAACGAAAACCAGGTTGTTTTTACACATCAGGTGCTTTTCTTAAGAATTGAGACCACCTTGTTCGTCCAGCAAACCCAGTTATATTTTAAAATCACATGTTAGACATCTTCTATTCTTTTATGGTGCTTTCCTTTTTCTTTATTTCCTAAAAATATGATATTTTATTTGACTTTCGAACATCTGTGTAGTGTAATGATGGTCCTATATATTGTTATGGGTGGGGCTGTTTGCAGAGTTGGCTCCTCATGCACTCTAAAGAAGTGTGCCGTACAAGATCATGTCAACCACTGAATGTTGTCTGCTCGTCTCTCTGTCCGTCCGTCCCACTTTTCATCGATCAGGATAACTTGTGAAATAGTGAACAGATACTTAGCTTGGATCGAGTTTGTACGAGCATGCAAGGATGCAAGTGATTAGCTTTTGGGTGTAAGAGATCTATGGTGACGGGGTCATGAAGTGTTTAACAATACCAGAAAATATCTTGTAGTCGCGATAACTTGAAAAGCAATCAATTTTCTCTTCAACTATTCAGTGGAATACTGCGAAATTTGCTATATGTGTGTGACTGAAAGTCGTATGTAACAGAATTATTGACTGAAATATGCTTTAGGACTCATAATTTTGTTTAAAATTGTCTAAAATATCAAAAGCTGTTCAGAATGTCATTTGCATTATGCTGGAATCGCCCCCATATAACATGTAACAGTGTGAAGATATTGATTTCTGAATTGATATTTCATTGTAATTTTCCCTAGAAGATAATCTGGAGTGAACCTTTTGAATATCTGTTTGTACACCTTGCCAGTGTTTGTAAAATACGTCTTGCTGCACAAAATTGTAATATGTAAATTAACTTGATTTAAAGAAACTAAATCAGTGAAAAAATGCGTTTCAGATATTGTCTTTTGTAGGATTTTTTTTTATCTGCCATTGCATATTGAAAGGTGTGGTTACCTTATTCATGGATAATATAATGAATTTCCTCCATTTTCTTTCTTAACAACTATTGTATGTAGAGGTGTCATGGTCTAGTGGATATGTCGCTGGACTGTCGATCACAAGGTCCGCGGTTCGAGACCCGCCGCGGCACTAATGTCCTTTGGCAAGACATTGATCTACATTTGCCACACTCAACCCAGGTGATGTTAAATGGGTACCTGGCAGAAATTAATTCCTTGAAATGCTGGAGCGCTGTAATGGCAGCTAGGCTAAAGCCGGGGAAATAATAAATGCGCCTCGGAATAGAATTTCTAGATAGACAGCGCTATAGAAATGCCTATTATTATTATTATTATTATTAATCCAATAGTAACAACAACAATAAAAAAAATGGTATTACAAAGCAGGGATTCAACTTATTTCATTTTCTCTAGAGCTACCCAAATAGATATTAGACTCTGTAGGCTTTCTTGGAACTTCTAAAAAAGGAAAAGTTTCTTCTTTCTTTCAGTATAAACCTTAATGCCGAAATTTGCTTATATCTTTTGGAGAGTGAGAAATACGGGGTTTGACCTTAATTAGCTCGGACATTATTTAATCAAAACATTACATTCAAATCACATTTTATACTGTGAACAAAGATAAATATTTGATGATCAAAATACCTTTCTTGTATAACATTGCCAACTTGATGAGGTAATCACCATGTATTTCTTCTGTTCTATACATGAGAGACTTTGACCTAATTTGTTGAATGAAGCAATGTAGAATGTATTTTTACAATGTGTGTTCGAAAACTATTTCGTCCTCATTTTGCTCCGGCCCAGCCATAATGCACCAATGTGGAGAATCACTATCTTGGTTTCTTGTTATTTCGGTAGATTTTAAACTATGCTGCACTCTTGGGGCAGGAATAATTTATTGATATGTATGATGAAAAATTTTGTAAATTTATTGTATATGAATAAACTAATTTCCTTTGTAGAATATAAATGAATATGTAACCTTTTATTTGGAATTGTTAGTTAGAAACCTACATTAATTTCTTGAAAAGTTTTCTTCGTGTTTCACTTGTGGTTATGTATGAAATTATCTTTTTATGTCTGCATGCCAATGTGTCATGGAAAAATATTTGTCCAACAAAAAAATGGAAGAAAAATGCAAAATCTTACAGTTTGTCTTTTATCCTTGTTAAATTATATACCAGATTTGATTTCTCTGTTTTTATCGATGGTGACTGACCTCTGTTGAGTTGATGGATATGTTTGGTGCAGTTGAAATGGTTATTTTGAAACCTTTTAAAACTAAGTTTGTATACTATATGCACAGGAGTCTGCAAGTACATGTATTGTATATGTCTGATTGTTCCTAATGTATTAACTGTAGTGGATTGTGAATAAATAATTAAACATATATATTATCAACACTACTTGAACTTCTTCTATATTCTTTTCTTTGTTTGTTGCCCAACGAAGGTAGTAATGGAGGCATTATCCACGCTTGATCAAATAAGAGACAGAAACAAACCGGAATGTGAGTTTGGTTGTGGCTTTTATTACCAAAAGGGTACACCAACTCTTTTCCAAAAATCTACATTTATGGTGATATCAATATCATATTTCATATTATCACCTGTTATCAAGACTGATTTTTCACAATCACCCAAAATGAACACTGATGCAAACTCTTCAGTTTGATACCAAATTATTGCAGTGCCACAATTCTGATAATATATAAAATGTGGTTGATTGTAAAAAAAGTAAGTTCCGATCAGAGGTTAACCTAAAATTTCGGAAGACAGTGTACCTTTCAAACATTTTTTAATATAAAGTTTGAGTCCAAAAAAATTTACACCTAGAAAATTGCTAATTATTTTAAAAATCATCAATGAACAGTAAATTAGTATACATCTTATGAAAGAGTGGTTTATCCCAAATCATTTGGTATCATCTGTGTGTGGTATGTGTTCACGCTTGGATGAACAGGAGGCATTGTTTGCGAGAGTTCAAAAATCGACTTGCGCCAAAGTTGCTTATGTGATATTTGAATTAAACAGTTGGGATTTGGGTATTAATTCGGTCTTTGCAGATCCAAATAACATCCCTAAAAAATTAATCATGCCACACATATCAAATATCAACGAACAATTGTGCGTGTGTGTGTGTGCGACTTTGCTTCTGCAAAAAGCATATGCAATGCATTTCATTTGATACATTCAATTCATTCTCTCACTCCGCTAATCCTTACATAATACATACTGTATAGGCATCACTTTGGCGCAAGTCGATTTTTGCACTCTCGCATTTATGTTTGGATGGTTTTCCCCTATGTCCGTCCGTATTTTTGCACAATGCCTCCTGTTCATCCAGGCGTGAACACATACCACACAAAAATGGTACCAAATAATTTGGGATAAAACACTCTTTCATAAGATGTATAAAATTGTACTATACAACATAGATGATTCTTAAAATAATTAGCAATTTTCTAGGTGAAAACTTTTTTTTGACTCACACGGTATACAATAATTCTTCTCGAGTTGTATTGCTATCAACATGGTACTGTCGAATACAAGTTTTCATTTTTTTCATTGAAGATAATTGATTTTTGTTTGTTTTATATTCTTTTGCTTTTCAGCTTTTAAATTTTTAATGATAGGCAAATGAACATTTCGTTGCATTTTCCCATCCTAATTCATTGAATGAAGGTCATTCTATATTGATAATAAAGATAAAGAAGAGGTAAGATAAAAAGGAAATTGGCAAAAATAAATTTCAAACTACACTAAATGAAAGATGGACGAAACAATAAAAGAAAGTGAATTTCATAGTTTTACAATATCACAAATCAGTTATTCAAATGTCAGAATAGTCTTGCCAGTCGCTCCCTTGCGTGTCTCGATATCTCGATGACTAGCGATGACGTCATCCAGTTTGAATCGACCTCCGATGTACGGTTTGAGCCATCCTTCCTCTATCCCACGATACAATGTATCATGTAAGGACAATCTCGCTTCCTACATAAAGTGTACAAAAGATCATAGAAAAGTTCAGTTAAAATCAGATGTATGCTCGATGGCCCAATCATCCATCTCCCGGCCGCGCATGCCAATGATAACAAATCACCGCCCCTGTTTTCAGTTTTATTATAAACACGGTTTAGATCAAGGTTTGTTTTGTAGTATGAAATCTTCGAGACTTTTTTATTGTTAAAATATTGTTTTATCTTAAAAGATCCAATCTAATTAGCGGACACCATAATACCTGCCGCCCCCGCCCCCCCCCCCCCCCCCCCACCCTCTGACCGGCCCTTCCAAAACGACCACCGCTTCCTTTTGGTAAACATCCCGGTGGCACTCAATCCATGATGAGAAGTACGGATTTTCTGTGATTGTTCCCATTTTCATATAATTAGCATTCCATCTTAAAAATAACTTGAGAAGACCTACCGTATCACAGAAAAACAGCGCACTTCCAGTTACTGTACTTTCTTTTGCCACCATAGATTGCGGATCACATTTCGTTATTCCTCGCTTGCCGACAATCTGATGAAATAGAATAAGCGCAAAATTAATGTAAAGTTCACGTTTTAAAAACATGATTATGGAATTTGAAATGATGTGCACTGAAAGTTCGATACATTGTGGGTGATGAGTAATGTACATGTAGTGTACCCCAGAAACAACATTTTCAATTATTAACTAAAATACAAACCAAACCAATTCCCGGGTGGAGATTGTGGCATAGCAGGAAAATGAAGCAATATTTCAACCCGTTCGATAACAATACAAGCGAGAGAGCAAGGTAGTAGATTATTTTACATTTTAATTCCTAATCAATGTACTTTCTTACAGGCGCGTAGCCAGGGGGGCGGTGGGGGCGGTCGTCCCCCCCCAAAAAAAAAAAAAAACCGCCGGCCAAAAAAAAAAAAAGAGAGAAAGAGAAGAAAAAAAAGAAAGAGGACGTAGGAAGAAAAAGGGAAAAGGAGTCGAGAACGGTACAATAAATCGTCAAAGCTTCCGCGCTTCGCGCGGGAAGGGGGAAACTGAGTTCAAATTAAGAAATATGAGTCGGGAAAGGTACAACGAATCGTCTTCTTTCTCTAATAATTTAATGAAACGTCAAAGCTTCGCGCGAGAGGGGGGGGGGGAACAGAATTCAGACAAGGATTAAGAGTCGAGAAAGGTACAACGAATCGTCTTCTTTCTCTAATAATTTAATGAAACGTCAAAGCTTCGCGTGAGAGAGGGGAGGGACTGAATACAGATAAGGATTCAGAGTCGAGAGAGGTACAACGAATCGTCTTCTTTCTCTAATAATTGAATGAAACGTCAAAGCTTCGCGCGAGAGAGGGGAGGGATTGAATTCAGACAAGGATTATGAGTCGAGAAAGGTACAACGAATCGTCTTCTTTCAAAGCTTCCGCGCTTCGCGCGGGAGGGGGCTCACTACCGCCCCCCTAAAATGAAATCCTGGCTACGCGCTTGCTTTCTTAGACATTATTCCCTTGTAAAAAAAAAAGCAAGGCAAGGGAGCACAGCAACCGAATATTCAAGTTTCTTTTAATGCTTTGCTATTCACTTTTCTTTCTCAATAGGTTCGTAAAGTAAACGAAAACCCTGACATCTAATCGGATGTTTTTTTAAGGTTGACAATTCAATGGTTACGAACTTAGTACAAACGATTAAAGTTGACATTTAAATTCTTGCACTTTATATGTAAAGGGAGCGTAAAAGTTTTTTAGCAAAGAGAGTTTAAGTTTCTAAAATGTTCAGATATTTAAACCCATTTAAATTACTATTTATTCATCATATCCAACATTGGGGTAAAAGGATTACCTCCTGAAGAAACTTAACTAACGAGGGAGCACAGCGACTTCGAACCCTTTTATAGAAAATATAAATATTTTTATACTATACCTTTTACTGAATCAGACTCCCCCATTACTGAACGCGTGCTGCCATAGTAAGAGGATTTTTTTTTAATTCATTTTTTTTCTCCAATAACATTTATCATATATATATTTATATTTATTTCTTGTTATTACTAAGGGCTTATATAATCTTAAAACCTAAAACCTGACACGAAATGAATTTTCATATCCTGTCACAATCAATACCAAATAATTGCCTGTGTATAATATAACTCTCAAACGAATCAACATAATCCACCTACCACAATGTGACCGTTCTTGGATATGATGTCAAGGTCGAAAGCGAAGTTGACGTCGACGTTTGTCTCTAAGATGACGTTCACACCCTTTGGTCCGATAATTGCCTGTCAGTTAAATTATGTCAAAATTATAAAAATAATAAGTTTAATTGATAATAAGATTAATTGGAATAAAACAAAAGTACAGAAAATGAAAGAATTAGATACGAAAAAATATGATATTGAATTTACAGAAGAACCATTTAAACATGTAGGTGTTTACGTTGGTAAAAATGATAAATATGTTAGCAGTATGAATTGGGAGGGGATAGTTGAAAAATCAATAATATTCTTAAGACGTGGAAAATGAGACGACTGACCTGTTTTGGAAAAATAAAAATTATAAAATGTTTGATAATTCCTCAGCTCGTCTATTTAGGCACAGCTGTCTCAATGCCTATTCATTATATGCAAGGCTTTACATAGGACTATATATATACATTTATATGGAGTTATAACGTTTTATAAAGCGGAATGTTTGTATCAAGTCAGAAAGAGAAGGGGGCAAGGTGGTTTCTCATGTAAGCTATAATACAGTTATGGTAGATTATTGCTTGCATTGTCAATTCCGGATTCCGGATTTAAGAAGAAAAAAATAAGATATTCCATTTCTAGGTGGGTTTTTAAAATGATATTTAGGTCATATTGAACTTGAAGCATTTGTACCTTTACTGTTTCTTTGAAATCTTTGTCCTTGTAGTCGAATACGGCTTCCGCTCCCATTTCTGTCACGATCTGCCGCCCTCTCTCGCTACCAGCTGTTCCGAAGACACGTGAAGCACCCAGTCCTCGTGCAAGTTGAACTGCAGCCAAACCAACCTGGTGTGAAGATGAAAACCATCCATGAGTTAGCGGTAGTCACATTGCAATTTGCATACATTACGTGTTGTTAGGCATTTAGCAAGTCAACACATTTGTCTGACCTAGCAACAACCACTGACCTGTCTTCCGTACAGATGAGGATGGGTAGACACTATATGGGCTCCACGATTCTTTCATTAACCTGCACATGCGCACATGGTAACCGTTAGAGTTAGTGATAGGGATATAATAATAATGCAAACCCACCTTTCATCAACCCATCGTTAGGTCAATCGATGAGGACAGAGTAATGGGATGTTGTAGTTGTGGGTTCGAACATGGACCTATTACGGATGGACATTCGTGGTATTGTTATAACGGAGTCATACGAAAAGTGCCCCGATACATTATAAAAATGCCTCTCCCCTTTTTACCTCTGATAGATGCCCCCTTTTTTTTAGACGTGCCCCTTTCCTTCGACAATTTTTCCTTTTTTCTTTGCAATTGTCAATTGTTCCCTTCTCATAAGTTCCTTTATTAATAAGTGCCCCGTTTCAGGTACGAGAAGTTCCCCTTTTCACTTTTGATTAGTGCCCCCTTCACCTTCACGTCTAATAACTGCCCCTTTTATTTTGACACGTGCCCTTTTCATTTCTAATGAACGCTCTTTTTCCTTCTTATAAGTGCCCCTCCCCTTCCCATAATTACCCCTTTTCATCTCTGATAAGTGCCCTGTTTATTTTGACATGTGACTATTTTTCTTTTTAATGATAGCTACTCCCCCTTCTCATAAGAGCGTCCTTACACCTCCGATAAATGCCCTTATTAAAATTTTGATCGCTGCCTCTTTTCTTTCAAAAATGCGATTTTTCCTTTAGTTTAAGTGCCCCTTTTCATATCCGGTCAATGCCCCTTTTCAGGTGCTATATAAGTGCCCCTTTTCCCCTCTGGTAATTTCCCTTTTAACAATGATACGTGCCCCTTTTCCTTTCTAATAAGGGACCTTTCCCCTTTTTACCTCTTATAAATGCCCCTATCAAAATCTGATGGATGCCCCTTTTTTCGTCAACAAATGCCCATTTCCCATTCTTATAAGTGCCCTATTTCATCCCTGGTGAGTGCCTGTTTCCAGGTGAAAGAAGGGCCTCATTTTCACCATTGATAATTACCCTTTGTACTTTGACACGTGCTCCTTATCTTTTCTAATAAGTGTCTTAATTCATCCCTTTCGATAAGTGTCCCCTTTTCCTCTCATTTTAAACGTGCCCCTAATTTAAAGCGACGAAGAGCAATTTTCCCCAGAGTTCGCTCGCTACGCTCGCTCGCATTTATAAACGATATGATTATGTTACTTATCAAAGCATTTCAGTCTTCCGTTATGAGAATGTGCTTATAGCCCCATCAGGATTATTTTTCCCTCTTTATAAGATGTATTTTTTCGCACTGCGACCTCACAAATCTTAAATTTATATTCAGACATCACACCCAACTGCAAAGTACAATGCTTATGCTTATTGTATGATGTACAAAGATAAACAAATATTGAAATCATCCCTGATATTGTAATCACAATGTAGGGGTATATACCCATATCTAAAAATGATATATTTTCGCTTTGAGATTTCTGATGATAGGTGCCCATTTTGCCCCCCCCCCCCCCCCCCCCCCCCCCCCTAATACACTTTGGAAGTCGCTCGGCCGCACCTGGATTGAGGTTATATTTGGATTGTTTGTCATTTAAAATCCCGTTTTCCCCGATTTCCACATAATATTCCAGAGTTACAACGCACAGGGCTTATAAAGATCATGGCCTTTTAATTGTTTTATAAGGTCATCGGTGCGTGCGAAAGTGTGCGAATCGGGAATAATACATTTCATATCACCAAAATCGTCAGCCTTTCAACTTTGCTGCTCCCCATTGGTAATGTCTTTCCTAATCATGCGAAAAGAGCGACAGACAGTTTCCCTCTAATATCTAATCTAATAGGGCCTTCACACGAAGGAAGGGAGGCCTAAGCATACATGTAGAATGGATACGCCAGTGATCGTGTTCCAAGTCTTCTGAAAATGATATACTCACTGCTCCACTTGCTCCCTGAACTAAGACACTGTCACCAGGCTGAAAGTGAGCCCTGTAAATCAAAGAGAGAGAGAGAGATAGAGAGAGAGGGAGAGAGAGAGAGAGAGAGAGAGAGGGAGAGGGAGAGAGAAAGAAATGAAGAGACCGAGACATGGAAAGTGAGAGAGAAAGAGAGAGAGAGAGAGAGAGAGAGAGAAGGGAAGAGAGATCAGAATAAGAAGGAGAAGGAGGGGTGGTTTTGGTATAAAGGGCAAATGTAGAGGGAGATAAAGCAGATCGTTAGAGAAATCGATTGAGAAAGAGAAGGAAGAGCGGACGGGGGGACGGAAGACGGGGGTGTGTGGGGGGAGAGTCAGAGTCGGACATCCAGAGAGAGAGAGAGAGAGAGAGAAAAAAAAAAAAGAGTGTGTGAGAAAGAGAGAAAGAGAGACAGACAGAGACAGACAGAGAGAGAGAGACGTTAATCTTCAAAATATCTTCCCCAGTTTAAAGGTGCTTCTTACACAAAATGAGTATACAGTCAATAACATTTTGCATGAATTCAGATAATATTATTTTATATATTAGGTATTGAGTATACCAATACCCCAAGGTGGCAAAGTTATACGTTAAATAAGGATTTTATGTCAAGGCGTTTCAAGTAGCGCCAACCCTGTTTTTTTTAAATATTATTTATTCGGGCATAAAGAATGATAAACATAAGAAAAATATTCAAGCTACCTATTATTAACTGAAGAAAAGCCTATTCTGTATTGGATTACATGTATTGTCAATGTATGTGGTGCCTCGAGGCGGAAGCCCATCTTTGTCTTGATACCTTCAACGAAAGAGTATTATAAATTCAAGCTATTTATTCCAGTATCACGAATGGCAGAAGCAATATTGCATACAATTTATCAAAGAATGTTTTAGCAAGATACATGTAAATGCGACTGCGTCTCCAATATACCACCGCCTACGTGTATGTTCATTGATCAGCTATCTCGAAGTCTAATTTGTCGAATTTATTCTATTAAAGCCCCACTGTCCTACTTGTAGCTACTTGCTCCCTCTATATAGAAAACTTCCCCAATCGGTGCATGTTGGTCCCCCATGATCCTCTATTTCTTATGTTATTTGAGAGCTGAGTTGATGAGATAGCCGCCTGTCAGTGACCTCGCTGTGTGGTCTAATCCCTCCTAGCAACACTAGTGTTGATAAGCTTTAAAGGTAGGGCCCTTAGAGTGTTTGTGCCTACCCTGCCCCCCCCCCCCCCCAAGCTTGAACGGTTTTTGCGTGCCTGCCCATATCTATGTAATGCTTTAAAAAGATAAACCACTACCATCAACACCACCAACCACCATCACTACCACCAGCACCACAACATCCTCCATCAGCATCATATTACCTGGTCAGAGCACGTAGTGCACTGAAGTATGGAATTGGTAATAGAGCCCCCTCCTCAAAGCTGAGCTTATCATGGAGTTCATACACCCTGTCTGCATCTGCTAAACAGTACTCCGCGTACGTGCCTGTAATTGGCTGGCACACATAGACACGATCCCCACGCTGAAGAAGACAATAAGAAGTTCATTATTTTATTCATGTACCTACGGAAGCGTTAAAGTGCCATTCTACTTGACGACATGACGAGATATTACATCTTGTCAAGTCGACTTAATATCCACATAATATCCACATGAACTTTTAGTGAAGTCGACTTGGCAAGATAATTGATTTCGCCATGTCGACATTACTTTTTGGGTAGTCGACTTGGTAAGATAATATATATGTCGCCATGACGACATGTATGTTTTAGAAGTCGACTTGGTAAGATAACTTATGTCGCCATGACGACATGAACTTTTTGTTAAGTCGACTTGGCAAGATAATTTATTTCGCCATGTCGACTAATAAAAGTTGATAAGTCGACATGGTAGGTGAAATATCTTTACATGTCGACATGATATGGATATTAAGTCGACTTGACAAGATGAAATATCTCGTCATGTCCTCAAGTAGAATGGCACTTTAACGCTTCCGTATGTACCAGTACTTTCACAGTAACTATCTGAATCGCTACTTGTGATAAACGTCCGTAATGACTGTAATTAAATGTTTCATGGTACGGTGGCGAGAAAGACATGACAATAGACCTCTTAACTAATTTCATGCATACTTTCTAAAACAAAAGGTTCTCAAAGTGTGCAGACTGCATGGACTCCAAGTATTGTACTTCCTTCATTAACTCAGGTTAATGGAGGAACTCGTCACTATAGGTCCCCAGAAAAGAAACACCCACAAATTTTAATATAATGATATAATAATTAATAAGAAGCTAGTTCTTATATAGCGCTTTTCAGAACTGAAGGCCCTCTCAAAGCGCTTTACAGATATAAGTATAGTATTACCCCGGCCATAGGATTCAGGCTTACCCACACACAATGTATGCACATTCTTCACTCCCAGGGGAGCATTCCAACCAGGCGTCATTTTTACAAGCGCACACTTGCTCATCTAAGCACATAAGCTTTCGCATCATATCGGGTACACATTTAACACCTGGGTGGAGAGTGGCAAATGTAGATCAATGTTTTGTCAAAGGACATTAGGGCCGCGGTGGGTCTGGAACCGCAGACCTCGTGATCCACAGTCCGGTGGCATATCCACTCGTCCACGACATCTCTATTAGTAAACCTTTCTATTCATCGTACGTGTGATTGCCAAGCTTTGTATATAGGGTACCTATGAGAGGTATTCATGTATCATTTTTTATTTTTTTAAATAAAGTATATTATATCCCTACACTATATAAATTGTATGAAATGATATTGGAATAAAAGTATTGAGTAAAAGAGGTTGGCTATAAAAATTATTGAAAAGTATTGAACTCAATCAAGACGGTGTCACGAAATACACCGCATTTAAAGCAGCCTTAAAGGTACTATGTCCCATTTGCAGGCCAAAAAAAGAAAAGGTTAAATTCAAACGGCATTTGAAAGATAATACTGATTAAGAACTTCCCTAAATAAGGTGGGGCTTGAAAATGTCTTCAAGGGGGAAAATAACGACTATTATTTGTCAAATCGACTTAGGAGCTATAGAGCCAATAAGTAATAGTCTTGATTTTCAGACCATTGTACCGAATGGTCTAGCGTTTTATTTTTAGCGTTTTAGTTCAATTTTGGCCATCACAAGAAGTGGGTTATTGATGTAGACAAATGCTCATGTACCCTTTACAGCTCGTTTTTGTATGTTATTACCAAAGATGAAGAAAAGCCCGTCAGTCACTCAATAGTGTCTGACAGTGAAGTCTAGTAAGTAAACGGGTTTCTTTGCATAATTTTAATATTAGGACATTGCTAACGTTTAAATATCACAGATAGGACATCCATGACATATTCATAATTCCTGCAAAGTTCTACAGAATTCGACGTTGGCTGCAAAAGGGTCATACTATCTTTAAAGGAATAAATTAATGTTAGGATAATGTTGCCGTTTTGCACTCTTGATGATCGACACACTTTTGGGGGGTAAAACTCCCGAATACTAGTAGTTTCGAATTCTCCATGAGAACACAACACTATAAGCTACTATGAGCAGTGTTAATGCAAAAAGTATATACCGTTCCTCATTGTTTGTTATTAGGTATTTTGAATGAATATATAGAATCTAAATGTCTTGTTAGCGTACCTTACAAGTCGTCACATCGTCACCTACGCACTCGACGACACCTGCTCCATCCATTCCGAGAATGCAGGGGCAACGAAACCCCGCCAGCCTTTGGAACGGAAACGAATTTCAAGTTCGTTAATTCCAGCTGCATACATACGCACGAGCACCTAACAGCAAGATGATCAATAAAAAACAATTTGTTGTAAATGTATTTTCTTTTTTAGAGAAACTTTGATAATATATACAGTTAACAACTAAATTCTTCATACCAATACCAGGTTATGTAAGTTTTTAAGTATTATGTGAAAATTAGATTTATTACCGATTTGTTTCTTTAGAATGTGGCATAGTAATTTATTAAAGCGTACATCCGAAAGTATTCAACGAAGGTTCAATTTCAAGCAGTCCGCCTTTAATTTTTGAGGTACGACAAACACGAAAGACATTAAATTAACAAGGGAGTATGAATTTATGGAGTAAAATAAAATTGAGTGATATATGAAGTGGAGCGCGGACAGGGGTAATGTCTGAGGAGGATGTCGCCCCCTCAAAAGTTGGAAGAAAAATTGAATTTTTAAACTCACTTGGTGCAAAATTTCTAGCAATATTCGACTAACAATCATTGATTAGATTTCAATGGATTTTTTTCCTCCTGAAAAAAGAATATCTTATGTCACTATAAGATGCAAATTAAAATTGAAATGCCATACAAATTGAGTAGAAAGGGTAACGAGTTTCACCAGACAAAGTGCGGAAGCTTTGGCGATTCATTAAATTATTGGACAAAGAAAACGCTACGTCCTACCGTTCTCGACTCTTAATCCTTGTCTGAATTCAGTTCCCCCCTCCCGCGGAAAGCACGGAAGCTTTCACGTTTCATTAAATAATTAGAGAAAGAAGACGTTTTGTGGTACCGTTCTCTACTCTTCATCCTTGTCTGAATTCAGTTCCTCCTTCCGCGCGAATCCTTGGCGTTTCATTAAATTATTATTCTTAATCCTTGTCTCAATTCATTTTCGCCCATCCCGCACGAAGCTTTGACGTTTCAATAAATTAATACTTCTAATCCTTGTTGATATTAATTTTTGCCCATCCCACGCGAAGCGCGAAAGTTTTGACGTTTCATTAAATTATTAGAGAAAGAAGACGATTCGTGGTACCGTTCCCGACTCTTAATCCTTGTCTGAATTCAGTCACCCCTCCCCCATCCTGCGCGAAGCGCGAAAGATTTGACGTTTCATAACATTATTAGAGAAAGAAGACGATTCGTGGTACCAACTTTTAATCATTGTCTGAATTTTCAAACATAAAATTGTGAAAAATAAATTGCCGGCCGACCGCTATACATCTCACAGCCTAATGGGGCTTTTACATATACACACCGGGGCCCGCATGGTGAGTAAAAACAGACAATTTTTGCCTGGACTACATTTGACCTGCGATTAGTCTACCGAGCCCGTCTCCTGCCCGTATCCCCTTTTTCGTGCGGCCTCCGTGCGGAGGCAGTAGGCGGCCGTGAGATTTTCGTACGGGTTCCGCAGCCTTTACGATTTTGTTTCGCGAGAAGTTATACAAATTTGAAAAATCGTAAGCCGTAGCCCGTAGACATGTCGTAGGTGGCACTGCAAAATCCCCGCACGGGCATCGCGAAGAGGCCTCGCGTTGATCGTGCAGCAAACGCGCGATTTTTCGGTGAGCATGGAGGCAAAAAAAAACGCTCAAATATAGCACGGCGGCTGCTCGGTCACCGCGCCTTCTCCGCGCAACCTCTGCACGGAAACTGCACGGGCTCTGTACGATTTCCGTGCGGAGGCTGCGGAGACTGCACGACTACTGCACTGAAATTAAACGATTTCCGTACAATCTCCAAGCAGCCTCTGTACGGATTTGCCCCGGCTTACCCCCGACGGCCAATACAAGAAATTGCACGATGCTCGTAGATAATGTAAACACAAAGTAACATCGTAGCCCGCAGCCTCCTACGATGACCCCAAAATCGAATGAAAAATCGTAGACCAATTTATCGTACGGCGCCCGGGGCAAATGTATCCAGGCATTAGGATATTTCGTCCGATGTCCGGCAGGCTCCCGTACAGTTCCTTCGGGCGCCGGGACATTTTCACCAGCCGTACAGGCGCCGTGGTGCTGATTCGGCTGCTCCCAATTCTCCTGGCGTTTTCATCTGACCGTTAGGCCGTATAAGGACCGTAAAGGACCCGTGGGCCACCGTACGGGTCCCGTGCGGGCTCCGGTCGGTGCCCAGACGGGCCCCTCACGATTTTTTCCCTATCAATTCTCAATGGAGGCGCGGATGTCAGAGAATACATAGTACAGTGCACCGGACGGAACCCAACAGGGCGCCTTGAGGACCCCGGCCAGGCCCCGGAAGCCAAGGGGTGCACCTGTTCATCGGACGGAGCCCGTAGGCTTACCAGTTGGCACCCGGCCGGCACTATAGGATTATTTGATTACACATGCCGTAGAAATGAAAATCAGAAAAGTTCCGTACGGTCTCTAAAACCCACGGCTCGCCGCCGGGTAGGTAAAATCGTACGGGGCCCGGCGTGTGTGTGACCTAGGCATTAAGGCGACCATCATCACTTCAAAGGCCGTAGGGCAGCCGCAGGTTTTCAAAATACGCCGCGCGGCTACCCTAACACGGCCCTAACATTATATGACCGCTATCGTATGTGACCGTGGGAATGCTGCGGCGTCCCTATAATTGATATTGGTCGTAGATAGTTTAGAACACATCACCGCCGCGGCAAATGTGACCCAGGCATTATTCGATGGCGCAAATTAAGTATTTCATGGCAGTCGTTATTGTCGATCCAAAATGGCCGCTGTATACTGATGGCGGTGGAATTATAGTTTATAGTCTCCGTTAATAAAATTACTCGAAAAAAAACACTCACGAAAACATGTAGTGCATTGCGTTCCGCCATTTCATGTTTCCTTTATTGAAGATTATCATTAAATGTAATAATTTACCAACAAATTTACGAGAACAATAAGGAATGCTGGAATGCCAGCAAAAATAAATGAATATAATCAACTGCAATACCATAGGCAAACCACCGCTTACCTTTCCCGCCATAACTGTGGGCACAGGGGTGTCTGTCTTTATTTTCATCTTTTCTGCCTCGCCAAACTCTTCTACAAAAACGGCCTTCATTTGTCTTGGAGCAGCCATATCGAAGACTTAATTAGTCTTATAATTAGTTCAAAAGTGTCAAACTTTGGCTTTCTTGAATTGATGGCTAAGTACAGTAAACGTGACTGGTAATGAAGGAGTTCTCTCTCTCTCTCTCTCTCTTACAACACCCTGTCCGTCTTAGCGATTAATCACACTGAGAGACTTTCTTGTAGGTGAGTCTATACTTATAGACCAAATGATATTGGATTTATTAATGAACCACGGATTTTAATAGTGCAGTTCCGGTAACTTTATTACCTTCATAGGCGCCTATTAATATATAATTCTGCAAACAGGAACTGTATACGCCATTGTAATAATATATGTAGTCGCTGGTAGATTCACGTCCCCCTTTTCCTTTTTTGAAATCGTTTTATTAGTTTCCTTTCATTCATTCAATCTTTTTTGTTCACACGGTTAGCCCATTCAGTTAAATTGACTGCTTAATGCGGTGGTCACATCCCGCCGTACTTGCAAGTGCGTGCTGTCTACGTGCAAAAACGTGGGCAAAATTTGGGTATCCGTACGTGTTGAGTACCGCCTCCGTACGGATTTGGGAAGCACGCAGACACACCGTAGCACTTTTAGTGCACGAGGAACTTTCGCTGCGTTCGGGCTGCGTTCGAGCTACCGATTCACCCCAGTGCGTGTGACGTGCGTGCCCGGTACTGCCAACGAGCGCACAACGCACTGACTCCGTGCGTCTTTTAAAGGCGCACGTGGTAAGTACGTGGTCCGTGCTTACTCGCCACTTCCCCAGTTCAGCTATCAAATGAGCACGCAGAACTTACGTGGACCGTACCGAGTAAGCACTTACAACGCACGTTGTTCGCACTGATGTATGCAGTATATAGTCTCTTCAGTGGAATGGGCGGCATCTTGAGGCAGCAACAGCTGGGACTTCTGGAGAACATCGGAATGTCGTCCTATATAAACACCGAGTTCATCGCACGTGCACGCACTTACAACATGCGAGTGAGCAAGGACACCGTACGTGAGCAGCACTTGTAAGTACGGCCTCCGTACGATAACGTGGCAACCGCACGGAGACCGTACGTTGTAAGCACGTTGTAAGCACGTACAACGCACTTACCACGTGGGCAACGTACGATGCACGCAACCGTTCACGGCCAGGCGTGGCGTGCGGGCCACGTACTTACACAGTGCGTGTGACGCGCGTTGCCGGTACTCCCTCCCTGCCTTTGCCACTCCCTCCCTACGTTTTCAGAAAACGTGGCGGCCGTGGCCTCCCCAAAAACCGTACGGACTAAAAACACGCACGGTGGGATGTGACCAACGCTTTACCAAGAGGCCCTGTATCAACTGTATGAATACCATAAATATAACATATTATTAACAAAGAACATGTAAATTGAAATGCCATTTTTAAAAGAATGAAAGAAAAAAATAAGAAATAAGAAGTATGAAAGAAACATAGAGCGCATAAACAGAAATTTTAAAAATGATAAATACAAATAGACATGGACTAATGTGGAAAACCCTGTTTGACCTGATGTAGGTATAAACTTGCTTGTCAAGTGAATTTCAGTTGTACCTTGACCCATTTCTTTAGTAAGCAAATAATTACCGTTGGTGAAGGTGATGGGACAAACTATCACTTCCGAGGCGATCTGGATGTAGCTATCTTTCCGAAGCGAAGCTGAGGAAAGATAGCGTATACATTCTGATCGACGAGGAAGTGATAGTTTGCCATTGCCTGAAACCAAAAGTTGATTATTTGCTTTATATTCCACATCTAAAACAATTTAACTACAAAAAGAAAAGGACGTGTATGCATTTACATAAAAGACACCTAGGCCCAAATTCACACCAAAAAAGTTTAAAGGGAAAGTCCACCCCCAAAATAAGTTTGTTTTGATAGAGGCAGAATAATAAGAAAATCAGGTGAGTGAAAGTTTGAGCAAATTCTGAATAAAAATAAGAAAGTTATGAATTATTGAAGTTGTGATCAATCAAATACAAATTGGCAACTCTGTGACTTATTATACGAGCTCTCCTTCATTTGCTTTGTGCATAATATTCCATAAAATCATGTTTTCTTCGTTATTGATGACGGAATATATATTTGTTCCTTGCAGGGGGAGTATAGAAACATATTTGCAATTATTATATTTAGGGTGCATGTATGGTTGAAATTTTTCTTGAGGGAAAATGAAAATTTTAGATTTTTTTAGTACTGAGCAAATGGAAGTTGAGCTCGCATGATACGTCATAGAGATGCCAATTTGTGTTTGATTGATCACAACTTCAAAAATCCTAACTTCCTTATTTTTAATCGGAATTTGCTCAAACTTTCACTGACTTGTTTCTCTCATTTTTCTACTCCTATTAAAACTAACTTAATTTCAGGGTGGACTTTCCCTTTAAGTTTAACCCAACCCAATAATGGGCGAACTATCTGTCATCACGTGATTTACTTTTGGCCAATCATAGAGCAAGATTCTTAGTATGTGGAATATAATGTAATCTATCGTTCATACTTCATAGATGTCCTTCGCACAATATACTAACACACAAGTTTAATCATATTTCTGTATAGGACTGAGGGTAACTCTATAAATACCTAAACATAGCCATGATTTTTATCTCTACCCATTAGCAGTCAAATAAAAATCCGGTTACAGTGTTCGTTTAGAGCGTAGAACGATTGACATGTAGAGTTATTATATGCTGGTACAATGAAACGGAACCCTGTCTGACTAACATTCCAGCAGCGTCCCAACTGCGAACAACCTATAAGTCATGTTCACTGAAAATGGATCTCTATCCAATGTAGGTAACGCATTTTACCGGCTCCTATTTTAATCCCCTTTACAAGTTATAAGTACACTCTTCCCCTCTCACCCCCTAATTACAAAACGTCTTACTCTTGATATTTTATTACAGAATTAATGGACTGAAGTCGTAAAAGACCATTCCGTGACTAATTTAGAGAGGGAATTCAATCTTGTTTACAGATTCAATTAAAAAATGATGGTAGTTTCAAATTCTTTGCTTGTATACCCTCTCAAAATCAATAATAATTACAACAATTATGGTAGTGATGATGACGATGATGATGATGATGATATATGAAAATAGTAATAGTAAAAATAAATTCTGCATTGATGAAGTAACAGCCATAAAACGGTGTTTTTTGCTATTACCAAATACATTTGATAGTGAAGTTTGGGGCTTGCAAATAGTAAGGTCTGTGTATATTATTAAGTACGCAGTTCTGCCGATATTGCATTTTGGTTTACCTATCATGGCTGTTTAGAAGCTGGGAAAATAGAGTTGGGTATTGTGTTAAAGGTACTATGCCCCATTTGCAGGCCCAAAAAATGAAAAAGTTGAATTCCAACTGCATTTGAAAGATAATACTAATTTAGAACTTCCCTAAAAATGGTGGGGCTTGAAAATATCTTCAAGTGGGAAAATAACGACTATTAGTTGTCAAATCGACTTTAGGGCTATAGAGCTCAAAAGTAATAGTCTTGATTTTCAGACAATTGTACCGAATGGTCATACGTTTTATGCTGCGCAAAGATTCAATCAGTTTAATCTTGGCCATCGCAAGAAGTGGGTTATTGATGTAGACAAATGCTCATGTACCCTTTACAACTCTTTTCATGTATGTTATTACCAAAGAAGAAAAAAGGCCAGTCAGTCACTTAATAGTGTCTGACAGTGAAGTCTAGCAAGTAAACGGGTTTCCTTGCATAATTTGAATATGAGGACACTGCTAACGTTTAAATTTCACAGATTTATGACATATTCATAATTCCTGCAAAGTTCTACAGAATTTGAGGTTGGCTGCAAAAGGGACATAGTACCTTTAAGAGCAACATTTTAAAAATTCTTAAATCACAGACTTTTTATCTCACAGCGTATGATATTTTCTTAATCATTTTGACCGAAAATGTGTCGAGCTCTATAATGCTCTAGTTCTCTTGGAGGGGCGTTGTTTATTCGACCACCATTGGATGTATTGAAATGGGCTGCAAACTCCTGGATAAAGTGGTGGCGGAGGCATTATGTTGCCTGGTTGCCTTTCTGTCCGTCCGTCCCACTTTTCATCTACCGGGATAACTCAAGAACCAGTGAACAGATACTAACTGAACTTGGATCAAGTATGTACGAACATGCAAGGAGGAACTAATAAGCTTTTTGGTGTAAGAGGTTAAACGTTAATATAAAGGTCACAGGGTCATAATAGTGTTTAAAAAGACCAGAAAATATCTTGCTACTGCGATAACTTGAAAAGTATGAAAGTAATTCAAACCAAACGTGGATGAAGTATGTATAAGGTTGACTCAGTGTCAGTTGACTTGGGGTCACCAAACACCAAGTCAACTTTCACGTGGGTTTCTATTGTTGCATTTACATTAACTCCATTGGGTAAGAGGACACTTGGGGGGGGGGGGGGTTCCTCCAAAATACACACATTAAAAATACCAAGGGGGGGGGGGGTTCAACCCGATCCCCGGTCTTCTGTCTTCCTTTTCCAAAATACCCCAGGGTGTTTTAGAAAACGAAGACAGAAGACCGGGGACCCATGTACTATGCGTGCATGCACTTGTACGTGTAGTGTAGCCGCGGGGGGAGAGAGAGAGAGAGAGAGAGAGAGAGAGAGAGAGAGAGAGAGAGAGAGGAAGAGACGATCCCCGGTCTTCGATCTTCCTTTTCCAAAATACCCCAGGGTGTTTTAGAAAACGAAGACAGAAGACCGGGGACCCATGTATTATGTGTGTTCGGCGTTTATAATAATTATAATACTACTGAAACACTGTCAGAATGATAAAAACGATGATGACAAAAACAACAACAAAAATGATAATAATAATAGTATAATAATAATAATAATAACAATAATCATAATGATAATAATCATAATGATAATGACAAAAGATGATGATGATAATGATGATTAAAAATAATAACATTAATAATAAGCATAACAACTTTTGCAAAGGAAAACCAAATACAGTGAAAAGGTGTCTATATTGGCTACCCAGGGGGGGGGGGGGGGGGGGGGGGGCTGTACAGACAGGTGGCTGCTGCAGACTGGTTCTTAAATACATAATTTATATCCATGGGAACCAATTTTTTTAGTGGCTTATGATAG